TATTGTCGGAAATAGTAAATTAACTGTAAGTTCCCCAAAATTAAATTCCGAGAAAATCTAAATAAATGGCCGAATTCCTTTTGTTTCTTTTCTCTTTTACCATTTTTAATATTTTTCTATGTTTTTAATTTCATTGCCGGGAACATAAAATAACAAGGGTATTCCCCCTTGAATCAAATCCCGTAAAAAATAAAGAAATTAAGGGATATTATGTTTTTCCCTTCTCCCCTACTGGTCGTTATCCCTTTTCCCCATCTTTAATTATAGTACTAAAATAGACAAAAAATTGAGGCCTCATTTCGGCCTCAGTCGTATGCCGCAAAAAATGTGGCTCCGAGGTCAGTTCCCGCGATGCCTCTCCGCGGCAGGCCAATCCGGGTCTAACCCTCTGAACGGCCGGAAATGACGGTTCGTTGATGTGCCGAGTGCGACCACCCATCTCGCCATCTTTGAGGGTTACCCGTAAGGTTCAGCATACCCAAAATCAAGGGCGCCCTGAGCTTCCTTGATTTCCGCTGCGTGGTCTAACCAGAGTACCGTCAAAACTCAGACTCGCCTTTGCGCCTAAGTCCCAAAACCGTAGATTTCAGGCGGCGCACTGCTTGTGGCCGCTTGACACCGGGCTGCCACTCATCGGCAACCTCAGCGACACCGGGAGCGAGATCTGGCTTAAAGAGACTACCAGGAAGGACCTTATCAGGGCTAGCAGTATGAAACTGTTCTTCTAGAGCAGCATTTCAGACGGTAGCTGCCTTTACTTCTCTGACAGCAAACACCAGCGTGTGTGGGGACTCAATCCTAAGACCTTTGAGTATACTCTCATTGCGGGGACGAGACAGGGGGGTTTCTCTGATGGAAATGGCCAAAGTTCATCGTTCAAAGCCCTGTCACATATAGCAATAACTCCAGATGGGTGCAATGTCTTTGTAACCGAGGACTTACGTCCCGGTTCCGTTCGCTGGCTGCAGCTTGATTCGCCCTGCACCATGGCTACATACGTGAAAACTGTCCTGAAGTTTCATCAGACTGCCGGGTTCATGAGCTTGGCGCTGCATTATTATGACCATGGTAACCGGCTAGGACTCTATGTCGCAACTACTGACGGGATTATCTACCACTTGGAAATTAACAAGTCGTCCCTACACACATGTGCACCAAGTCCCATTCCTCATCAGCATCACATGTCATTGATCAATGATTGGGCTCTCCGCATTGGTGTGCCTATTATTGTGGGGTTTGCATTGTTAGTGAGCATTGCCATCATTCTCTGTCTCCTCAGGCGGAGAAGGCATCGCCTGCATCGCCCAGCCGAGGAGGTGGGAGAGGTATCATTCGTCTCCAGCTGTTGTAACAGCGCATCAACAAAGAAAGGCACAATGTCACGATCTTCCTCTTCCAAGGGCAGGCGAGGGGGGAAGCATTAACCTGTCTCAGATAAGGCAGTTCGACTTAGCCACCTTGTCACTCTGTACTTCTAATTTCAGTGAGCGCTATCGGATCGGTGAGAAGGGGGCATTCGGGGAAGTGTACAAGGGCAATATCGATGGTAAGGAAGTAGCAATCAAGGTGATGGCCCACGATCTCACGAGCGACAAGCGGAAGCAGTTCGTCGCGGAGGTGAATGCACTGACCAGAGTCAATCATGTGAATCTGATTGAGCTGATCGGGTATTGCGAGGAGGGCTATCGATGCGTACTGGTGTACCCATACTATCAAGGGGGAAGCCTGCATTGGCGGTTGCACAGCAAGCAGAGCCTCAGCAATGTCCATCCAGAGAAGAGTCTTCCGCCATTGACGCTTGAGGAGCGCATGAGAATAGCCTTCCAGATCGCACTGGCCTTAAACTATCTTCATGGGAACACTAGAGAGCCTATCATCCATCGGGACATCAAGAGCAGCAATGTTCTTCTAGGTGATGGCAAAGGAAAGAAGCTTCATGCTGTTCTCTCAGATTTCAGGTTGGCGACCATGGGGGAGAGAGTTTTTGGCACGGACCACCAAGAGATGGTAGAAACCTCCCACATTGGCGGCACATTCGGGTACATGGCACCGGAGTACCTGCTCAAAGGTAAATTGTCAGAGAAAAATGACGTGTACGCATTCGGAATACTCGTTCTTGAAATGCTCAAGGGGAGGAAGGTTGTAAAACGGGCCCCTTCTGGGTTGGGAGTGCAGACGCTGCGGGACTGGGTCAAGCCATTCCTTGAAGGTGGCGACCGGTCTGAGACCAAAGTGCTGCAGCCTGGTTTTGAGATTCTCGATCCTTGTCTGAGGGATGAGATCCCCGACGCTTCATCAACAGATATGGTGACGGATACAATCCAGTTGGCCTGGGTGTGCGTCAAGATGGAGGATACTGAGAGGCCCAGGATGAATGCAGTTGTCCACCGCATTGAAAGCATTCTTGGGAAGGCTACTTGTTTTCAACCGAACAACTTGGGGGTTACACAACACTAATAACGTTTATGTTCCGAAAGGGGGGGGAAGGGGAACAGGGGGTAATCTACCTGTTTCTTTGCATTAAAAACAAAAAAGACCGCAGCTTTGAATTTTGATGAAGCGATTGCTTATAAGCAAATCCACTTTTTCTTCTGATGTAGAGATCTTGTCCAAGACTCCAAGGTCTTCAAATTTCAAACTCTAACAGTGTAAGTGTGGGCTAGGTGCGCATAAAAAACTACGGTAAAGATCAGTCAAAGTACTCACACAGACTCAAATGGACTTCTTTTTTTCCCAAGTTAAACCACTACTACCTCTAAGGTAATAGAATGTGAAGGGACACAAGCCGCACTCTAGGGGCACACGAAAGGATGCTTGACGGGAGCAAGATGGATGGCTAGAAGATTGTCATCCTGCCGGGGAGTGAGGGGCGGGAAGCGCAACTTGTGCCGGATTGCCGCAACAGGCTTGTGGAACAGAGCACATCGGTTAGACCAGTTTCATTTGCCTGGCTTACAGGCCGTAATAGCAGGCAGGGCCACGTGTCACGTGGCTATATCTTGCGTAGCAGAGGGGCGTTGGGTTTGGTATGTGGCGTTAGGTTGAAAGGTGGACCTGCCACGTCATCTGCCTCGATCAAACATCATTAGCAATAGCAGCGGCTTCGCAATCGTCTTATCGCGATGGCTTCATCAGGATTATCAGTGTCAGCCAGTTTGAATGTCTCATCAATGTTTCAATTACATTAGCGGTCTATGGCATAGTTGAAAGTGCACTGGCTGCTCGTGCGCTGTTGGCTACTCGAGGGCTGCACCAGGTTCTTTCGCCTGACTGACGTGTCGTGAAAGCTGGTGAGGCCACGTGTCATGCGGCCATCTATTGAGTAGAGGAGGGGAGCTCGGCTTCGCGATTGTCTCATCTCATCGTCATCGTCAGCCTCTTTGGAAGCCTTATCAAATCTTGTTGGCAACTGGTGTCATAGCTGAGCGTGCATTGGCTGCTCGTGCGCTGCCTGATTGGGTGCGGATTGCTTGTGGGGTCACTCTGGCGAGGCCACGAGTCAGGTGGCCATCTATTGCGTAGAGGAGGGGAGCTCGGCTTCGCGATTGTCTTATCTCATCGTCAGCATCAGCCTGTTGGAAGCCTCATCAATTCTTGTTGGCAACTGGAGCCATAGTTGTCCATGCATTGGCTGCTCGTGCGCTGCCGGATTGGGTGTTGATTGCTTGATTGGCTCACTCTAGTCGGTGACTGCGGGATTGGGGGAGGAAAGCAATCAGACTGGTCGAGATGAGGTGGAGTGGCAGCATATACCGGGGAGGAAATGCTACATATGGCTGATTGCCGCAACAGGATAAAACAGGGTGCACAAATTGAAACAGGTCTTTGGTCCTTTCGTGTGGGAGGTGGGCAGTAATAGTATGCTAAGGGGTGTTGGATTCGGCACGGGGCGCTAGACTAGGTCTGTAAGTGAAACTACTACGTCATCCTCTTGTGATAACATCATCAACATGCTCAGTAGCGTGATGGCCTCGTTGTCTCATATCCTAGTCTTCATCAGCATTGCCATTATCAACACGTTTTTAGTATACACTTCCTGCTAGCCGCGTGAAATAGGTCCTTCGCTTGGAGGACAGGCAGGGATAGTATGCTGAGGGGCGTTGGGTTCGGTAACGGCCATGTCATCCTCATGTTTTAACATCATCAGCAGACTCGGCAGCAAGATTGCCTCAGTGTCTCATTTCGAAGTCTTCATCAACATTGCCATCATCAGCCCGTTTTGAAAATAAACTGGCTGGTAGTGTGCTGATTGAGAGGGTGTTGGAAGATTGAGGGTTGTACGCGAGCTAGGTCACTTCGGACTACTGGCCGCACCGACTGTAGACTCAGTTCGAACGTAAGGTTGGGGGTATAAGGACAGCTGCCACGACATCCTCTGGCATCATTATCACCAGCAGACGCAGTAGAGGGTTCGAGATCGTCTCAATATCGTCATTATTGTCCTCCTCATCATCCTTCTTTAATATGCGACGAAAGAAGGGTGATCGACGGGAAGGAGCTTGAGAAGGGAAGAAAAATTAGAGGAAAGAGGGCACAGCAAAAAGGAGGAAGGACGAGGATTAATTTGGGAGATTAAACAAACTTTCTTGATTAGCATTGCATTGTGGAAGAGAAGGGTGATTGACGGGAAGGGAATTGAGAAGGGAAGAAAGCGTGGAGTGACTCGTTGCGACGCCAGACCAAATGAACTTCTTGATTGGTTGATGGACACTACAGGCTAGGAGGCATAGTGCCATCAACACATCGCAGATCATCTCTGGAAAAGGAGGGGGAGACGGAGGGGTGGAAGAGGCAGCAGGGGTCAACAACACGGTCGTTCCAGCTGCCTACACGTCAATACCAACCGAGGAAAAATGGGGAGAGGGTGCTAAATCACTAAGCTGCCACTTGCTGCATCTCAGCAGTGAAGTTTTTCCTCTCCACATTCCTGATCGGTCTCCTTCCTCTATGCTCTCCCAACTGCTTCTCTCCAGCCATGTCCATAAAATCAATTCACTTAAATTAAGCATAATGCATTAACCACATTTAAAAAAAAAAGGAAAATCGAAGTCGTCACTAACTCCCCTCCCCCCCCCCCCC